CACCCCAACGACAGAGCTCGCCGTGTGCACCTCAGTTACCACTTTGTACATACTATAAATATACATATTCCATAAAACGCAACAGCATTTTATTTGGCGTCATCCGCTAAAGAATGTTTAGAGTTTTAATTCTCAAAGGCTAGGTATTGGTATATAGGGGTGGTTCCTATTTTGTAGAACGCGGAATTTTATCCATTTCCACCTCTAAAATTAATTTGATTACATTTTTACAAGTCCTCATGCAATGTAAAACAGCTTACGCACCACACTCATTTTTGCAAGACTTTGATTGCTTTCAAAGGTGGAAGTCGATAAACTTCCAAGATTTCCAATATAAGATCCACCCTTATATACATATACATATACCCATATAAATGGAAAAATATACTGCAAAAACTAAATGTTTTACCCCTTTTATTAGCATTGTAACCTATGAGCAATTTTAAATGTGTATTCTGGATTACGTTTTCCCGCCTTCAAAATGCAAGCATTCTGTTGGTTTAGAGTTACCAGACAACCTTTCTAATAAAACAACCTTGGGGACAGCCATGATGTGCACTCACTTGGCGCGAAATTCAAATCAACTAATATCATTGAACTATGTTACAGAGTATATAGTTTAATGATTAATAAACAAGCATTAACCTCCCGTTTTCTAAATAAATTACTGTGACACATGTCATTTTCCAAGGCTGCAATAGTTTCAAAACTTGAGCACTAGGAAAATTCCCCTTGAAAATAACTAAAACGTGCACATCATGGCTAGGGCCATTTCTACCTCTATGCAACTGTTTAATCAGCAGTCCATCTTAATTTATAAGTTCGTGGTAACAGCATTTGCAAAAGAGTTGGAAAAATTAGAAGACTGGAAGCGCAGGAAATCCTTGAATGTCGTATCAGAAACGTGCTTATTTTCAATCTCAGAAAGTTTTTCTCCCAATTTTTTAAGGACAAAGTACTTACTCGATACTAAACAAGGATCTGATCATTATGTAAATAAGTATACGATTTGAGCATGGGAATCTCTCAACTGTTTATAATATTTGTATAGGAAAGTATTAATTAGTACAAAATTTAACAATCCTTGAAATAATAACTGTTCTTCTTAACTGTTGTCATAGAAACGAATGAAGGAAAAATAACGCTCTTGGGAATTATGATAATTCCCTTTGGAGTTAAGGGTATTATAATATACCTAAGAACTAGTCAATTATGAAGTCATAATAACATAATAACACATAACAGTATATTATTATACGAGCATATAAAGGGTGCGATTCATGAGGTGAAGTGAAGTTTGCAACACGAGCCGAAGGCGAGTGTCATAATCCCCTGTTTATGCAAGTAAAATATGATATTTTATCTAGGACTATTTAATTATATATAAAAAAAAACGGGGTCTGAATGAGTTTGAGACGTGGAAACTTCATAGCGGTATGGTTTTTGTTCGTTGACGCTACGACATTTTTTGTGCACTCATTTCTACAAAGCTGATATTCTGCCATTTTATTGCTTTGATAGTACAAGTAAAGAAAACGGTAGTCTACCGCGTCGGTGTATGTACATGCCTCATTTCTACAAGAATGAAAGTTTGTACAGTAATTAAGTATACCTAAAAATGAAGTATGGTAATAGTCTACCGAGCTAGATTGAACTTATTTCTACAAAGATGAAATTTTGTTGGAAAAAGTTGATGTCATAAGAAAAAAAAAATGGTTTACCGATCCCGTGATGTTGCTAACGTCTCTGTAGACACGCTGGAAGGTACGATTTTCCGAGCGCAGCTGCTGCACTGCTCTGCTAGAAGTACCTCTAAATTATTATATACACGAGCATAGGTAAAATAAAAATATTTCAAAACCGAACATTGGCAATTAACATAGGAAAAAGGTATTTTTGCTGATCGTTGCTCCCCATGATAATTTAGGTCTTAGCGGGTTTATAATGACTCCAATCGAAATAAAAATTTTCTTGTTTATCTAATGATATTAGAATTAGTTCATTTTCAGTTCCATTTCTCATTATTAACGATCCTCGAGATTGTTTATCAGTTTGTATTGCTGTATTGGGTCCGTCTGTCTGTTCGTCTATCCGTGTGCACGATAACTCATAAATGAATAATATCATTGACATTCGCTATTTTGTGTCAAAATTTAATGCTACTGTTCATAGAAAATCGTGAACATAATAGACCGGGAGGCAGCGTACATGGTAACTAAACCATAAGCGACAAAAAATTCGACAATACAGGCTGAAAGTACGTTGAAAACTAATAATAAAATCACTCGTCTGCCAGTCGTAAGTGGCAGCATTAACTTGGGGCGGCGCTGAATAGGTGACTTCTTTAGGTGGTCAACTAAATTACCAAACTATAAGGGTCGCGGAAAAGATTTGTATCAAGAAATCCCATTTTTTCCATAGTTTTCAAATATGCTATGGCAGACGATTTCAAGTGCAGCGTTGGTAGCGAAAGACGCCCTCCAATGTAGGGAAAAACACCCCTGAACTAAACCATGAGGACCGTATAAAAATTATACATAATTTTGTCACTACTTTAAAATATATCCTGGCAGACGATATTAAGTGTAGCTTTAATAGTGGCAGACGTCTTAGAAGTTAAAAAATTTAGGTGCAGTAAATTCCAGCGAGTGCGAGCGTGTGAGAGATAAGCGCGCGAGAGCACAACGAACAGAGATAGCTATAGATTTAGGCACCGCTTGGAGTTGCCAAACGAATTAAATTAGGGAAAATAATAAATTGTTTATTTCGCGATAAGATTGTCGGTATTTCTCGAATTCTTCTCAGACTGAGAAACAGAAAACTTGAAGAGAAAAGTAGATAGATCTTCAGCTCGTTCTAAACTATTCTCTGACTCCAGTTCCGTTGTTTGTATGCAACATTGATGGATCGATGATTAAAATCGACAAGTTTGTTTTGCTGAAACTTTTTCGGAAGTATGATTTCTTCAAGTGCTCCTAATCCATCGCCAGTTGTAGATGCTGTTTTAATCGATGGATTATTTTTTTACATCTTTTAAAAGATCCCCGTTAAACCTTTCAGCGATTTTCTGAACACATCCTCGGCAAGATTTGTGCTGTGTCAGCGAGAGAAGTACATTTTACTTTTGACTGATAGTTACTCCTTCCATGAAGGACGCAGAACATGATCTTTGGGATCAAAATAAGGAAAGATTACAATCCTACTCAATTTCTGTTTCCACTCAGAAGCAGCCTGCAAATTTCATAAAACCACTTCGCAATGATAGCTCAAAGCCTCTCTTATAGATTACTTATACCGTTCATAGGCAAAAAAGACCTGTTGCGCTTTACTTGGAAGGAAAGTTGTGTTTGCCACATATGAAGATAAGTGCTATAAATTTGTGCCAAGGGAAGATGATGTGGTAAAACTGAATTGTGCTGCAGCCACTAAGAGGCAGATTCTCGAATAATTTACCATCTTGGTATACTACCAACAAGTAGCAAAGTCATTATTAGCGCTTCTGATATGGATATTGCTGTTATTGCTTTGGGAAATGTAAAAATTGACGCTACCATCAAGGTATAGATGGAAGTAGGTCTCTTTTCCAATGACACGCAGAAATTCATAAATCTTCGAGAGATGTTCGTGAATTTGGGTGTTGATGTGGCGTAGGGTAATGCGTTACCGGTTCCCACGCATTTACCGGATGTATGACTTGTGTATGGTCCTCATGGTTTCATCGCAATTTGGGCGAATGCCACCGAAAAATGTCCGAGTTTCTACAATCCGTTTCATTGAAGTGGATGGAACTATGTGAATCAGAAGTTTAGAATCAAATGGTTTGAAAGATCTCAGTAGCCAGTATCCTATCGCTATCTCTGTTGGTTATGCTCTCGCGCGCTTATCTCTCACACGCTCGCACTCGCTGGGATTTACTATACCTAAATTTTTTAACTTCTAAGACGTCTGCCACTATTAAAGCTACACTTAATATCGTCTGCCAGGATATATTTTAAAGTAGTGACAAAAAGAGGAATTTTTTATGTATAATTTTTATACGGTCCTCATGGTTTAGTTCAGGGGTGTTTTTCCCTACATTGGAGGGCGTCTTTCGCTACCAACGCTGCACTTGAAATCGTCTGCCATAGCATATTTGAAAACTATGGAAAAAATGGGATTTCTTGATACAAATCTTTTCCGTGACCCTTATAGTTTGGTAATTTACTTGATCACCTAAAGAAGTCACCTATTCAGCGCCGCCCCAAGTTAATGCTGCCTGCCACTTACGACTGGCAGACGAGTGATTTTATTATTAGTTTTCAACGTACTTTCAGCCTGTATTGTCGAATTTTTTGTCGCTTATGGTTTAGTTACTATGTACGCTGCCTCCCGGTCTATAAGTACCAGTTTCCATACCATTTTTTGACAAAAAAAGCCCGGTAATTTGATAACAATGCAAAAAATTTAATTGACTAATCTGTTGAGAAACGAGATGTTTTTGTTTTCAGTCTATGAATTTGAACGTTTTTCGTATTTAGGTTTTTGTGATGCAACGCTTCCAGCTCGGTAGACTATTACCATACTTCATTTTTAGGTATACATAATTACTGTAGAAACTTTCATTCTTGTAGAAATGAGGCATGTACATACGCCGACGCGGTAGACTACCGTTTTGTTTACTTGTATTACCAAAACAATAAAATGGCAGAATATCAGCTTTGTAGAAATGAGTGCACAAAAAATGTCGCTGCCTCCTGGACTAGTGCTGCCGGTTTCTGGTGTAAGGGCATTGCATGGTGACGTAATTTGTGCTTCATACCGGTGGCTAACTTCCTGGACCTGTTCAGAGTTCGTGTTTTTCCCGCTTTCGTTAGCGCGAGAGCTGTCGATTTGGGTGCACCACAAGAGGAAGAGGAAGATATGGTAGAACACATGCTGTGGGGATGTAAAGAGCAACGGAAAGCTGGAGTGAAGTAGTGGAAGAGGACGCGAATTATTTTAGGAAAAATGAAATTAAAATACTTTAGGTCATCATTTATATTCATCTTCCTTTCGCATGCCATATTCCGTGCACAATTTGTATCTTTTACTTACGTACGCTTTGTTGCAAAAACTAAATTATTATTACAGAGTGTGAACGATCTTTAATGTTAAAATAAATCACATTGTCTAAAGCTTGGGGCTCATTGACCTTCGACTCTTCCAAAATAGTCTAAATTATAGTTACCAAGAAACCTAATTAACATTTCATTATGATGATTTCATTTAATTTAATCGAGTAGCCTTGACGTACTTCCTGTTTGGACTTCCACCAAGCGACTCGCAATTTTTCTAAATTTAGCTACACTATACAAATATTGCCTAATTCTTAGTGATATCACAGCTGATTGAGAGGAATTCTTCTTTGAAGAGTACTAGCATTCGTGGTTCGTGCACACAGTACCAGATATGACGCACCAACACTTGTTGCACCCCTTCGACCATACCGTTCCGCTTACGCACTGCTCCGCTTGCTTACTTTCGGCGTGCTGGCTGCAAAGGAATTAGGTCAAATTCCTAAAAAACACCAAGTGGTCACCTACCATTTATTTATGCGGCACACTAGCTCGTTATTTTTCAGGCAGTAGCAGTGGTTGCAGTCGTTCTGCATGAACTCTTGCCCTGACTTGCATTCTGGAATTTGTCACGTTTAGAAGAACTTCCGTAAACGAGCTGTCTTACCAAATAGTTCACGGGCCGGTGAACAATCTGCAAACGCAAAAAGAAGCACAATTACCAACGCTGCTAGTTTCATTTCAACGTCGTCAACAATCGCGGGTTTAAAGTCTACTGTCTTGTAATCGAGCAAGCGTGTATTTAACTGGTGAACGTTAGCGTAAGATATCAATGGGGGGAAAACCCGAGGAACGGGTTCAGTTTTACGTTTGTAAGAACATGGGCAACTGGTTTTTCTCGAACAGCTCGACTGATTATTCAAACAAGACAGACGTTCATTCATAACAAAATGTTTGACACTTTCAGACATCGGAAACCCCAACTCTCGGCTCGGTTGATTGGTGCTCGGATGATTGTTTATCTTGGTGATTTATGCAACAGAGTCAATTGGTTTTTACCATTACTTCATACACGCTTCTGGCGTGGTTGTCCACAGGTAAACGCGAGACGTGCCAAATTCATCATGGTCAAGAGGAAATAGCACGCAGTATTTTATCAAAAATAGAAATTGGTCATTAGTTATTCCCCAAAAAATCTCCCCCTCCATTTTGAGCTGATTCCAAATTGTCCCCTTCGTTCTTTCGTGCCATGCCATAACTCTTGAAGAGTAACAAAATGTTTGTTTAATATATTTCAGTAGTAAGTAAAGCCACCACCTAGGGCGTTGAATTTTACCCAAGCTTAATTAATCTAGCAACCTTGCAAATTGGCCAATAATCAGGGCGATAGAAAAACTTCGTATCTTCCACTTTGATTCCTGGAAAATGTTGAGTCCACATTCTTTGGATTAACGTTTCCAGAACATTCGTTATATTTACCTCTCTCGAGGTAGCAACAGTAAAAAATGACCATGAGTTAATGGATCCAAGTCTTAGTCCGCCGAAAAAGATTGATTGCAAAATGGTCTTGAAATTAATATTATTTCTATACGCGCTGTGCTAGTCCTAAATGGTACCAAATGTAGTCTAGCATTACTCAGAACACCCTGAAGGCGATATTAGAGTATTTCACACTCGCTTCCAAAGGACCATGATTCCACGCATAATATTTCGAGGTGATAGCAAAGAGTACTCAAATACTCTTTGGTGATAGTACCAATTGAATCATCGAAAAACTTTGTCAATCCTGAGACTTCTTTCCTCTAAAGTTTTAGATTTTTGATCGCTATATCAATTACAAAGTAATCGTCTAGCAATAAACCGTCGTTTATTTCTGAATTTGGAAATTTTTACTTCAAATGATCCTGTACAAATGAGTGCCTATAACGGGTATAATATTAAAAATTGATTACTGTAAATGTATCAAAGTACGAATGGCGCCCTAGGATACGCCTAATACATATAGCCTAGCGAACGTTCCAGAAATATCGATAGACACCGAATTTTACGGTAAGACATTCAAAGCGTAATGGGTGTGTATATTTTCAATTACACATAATGCATTTTGGCCTGAGCGTGGAGGAAATAATGTCTACTAGGTTTTGTAAACGTATCATTTGTTGTAAGTTTAAGAATAGAGGGAATGTACTTGGGCAGGAGAATGTTGTATAATGTGCAGCGGGGAGAGAAAAACGGTAAATTTTAATCAAGTGTAAATACTGGCGAGCCGTTAGGCGAGCCTGTCATCTCCTAGAGCCAGTAAAAACTATTACTTGGCGTATAATGTACAATATTTTATTTGTTACTCATTTGTAAACGTAAATAATTAGTTCTTAAATTGATTTTGAAGAAATGTCTAAAATATCATGTGATCCATGTAACAGAGACTTCGCATTAATTCTGGCCAATGAAATTACTAGATTACTAACTTGTAAAATTTTTACAGGTCTGCTGTCAGTTTTACTCTGCTGTCAGTTTTACAAGTCTGCTGTCAGTTTTACAAGTCAGTAGCGTTTAAACATGACGTTTACCCGTTTGCGTTTTGTCTTGTTAATCAACGTTTACAACTGAGTAACAAATAAATAAATTAGTCAGTCGATCGAGAAATGTTTGTATGATTCTTCTTAAAATTCGGTAGCTTAGTAACGTTATGACGTCACAAATATGGCCGTCTCGTTTCATGTGTAAGGAGTCAAAGTATCATACAAATTTTGATTCAGCATAAAGCTATATGATTAATGTTTGGGATGATATTTCCCTCCCGTCCCGTCTCGTAGATGTCCAAATCTACAAACGCACAATTTTACGTTTCGCTCTAACTCTAAAGGCGGATCCACATATTTATTTGCGTTGTGTGTTGAATTTGACACAAATTTGCTCGTGTGTGCCGAAATTTTTGTCAATGTGGACTGTGCGCCGCACGAAAACTTACAAAAATACAGTCCACATTGACAAGAATTTTTACGCACACGAGCAAATTTGTTTCAAATTCAACGTGTAACGCAAATATTTACCAATGTGAACCCGCCTTAACGGTTTGACCGGTAGAAGGCCGCAAAGTTGGAAAATGCGGAAAAATCCCTTTTCGCGAGTGGCTCTCCGGGTCGAGAAGTTTCCAAATTCGCATTAACCCCAGAATCTTACCGCCGCACGAACACGCTCTGCGCCCCCCCCCCGCGATCTCCAGAAAACCGCAAAAGGAAATCAGGTAACGTTTTCGAGCTACGAATTTTTTCCAAAATTTTCGATTTTTTCGCTTCTTATGGAAGCTATCGGACGGATGCCGGAACGGCGATGTCCTAACTCGACCCGTACGGAAGCGGCCGCGTACCTCGACGACGATGTTCCCCAGTGAAATTTCCCATGTGCCAAATTCTCAGAATTGATGCGAAATCAGGCAATATTTTAATTACAGAACAATAAAATCAAAGGAAGCTGAGGCGATCTTCGGCCGAGTAAATAAAATTGCAATACTCTTCGAAACTGCGCACATATTATGAGAGCTCATCGGCATGGTCCATTAATATCCTTTAAATGCTGCGATTACTGAAGCTATTTAATCAAGTACGAATTGAACATCCAATTGTAAACCTGTACTGAGGCTGAGATACCAAAGAGCGCTGACCTTGCCCTAGGGAAACTTTTATTACGCAAGTTACAGTCTACAAATTTTTTATGGGTTGAAAAGAGTCAGTTTTTAACAAAATTATCGATCGGAGTTTTTACGATTCACTGGTTTCTGTGTGCGTCGTGTCCGTTTAACGGTTTGGGCAAGTAACCGGCGCCAGTCTGTTATACTGTACTACTGGGTGGGTCCTGGGGAAGTTGTGAATTTGCAAAATTAAATGGCCGTGGGTAATTGATGAATTAGCATCATTTTGTGGGTGGTTTTGTAAATTTAAAAGATGACTAGGGATTCATTCAGGCGACAGTTTTGCCGCCGTCGCGTCGTAGCGCTTACGGCGGGTGGCCAAGAAAAGCAAATTCGGTTTTGAAGCTTGAAGCACGAGAACGACATGTAAGCCATCCAGAACACAGTTTTTTGGAAGCAATTTGTTCAGCGTTATTTTTGGTGACCGAGTACTGCGCAAAGTTTCGACAAAAGGTGAAGTACCGGAAGCAGATTAATTACGAATCGATTGAACTTAAGCCAAAAAGCGGTTCGCTAACCTAATTGATGAATGCTTTACAATGGCTCAAGAAAAGTTATACGCAAAACCGTGGCAAAACTAGCGGACGTTTTCCGACGCAAATAAAGAGTTAGTTCGGTAGCAATGAAGGAACAAGTTAATAGCGCGTCTCATTTGTTTAGGTTTCGTTTTTCGTTTTTGGTTTTTTTCGTTTAATCGTTTTTTGTTTTTTCATTTTTTCGTTTTTTCGTTTTTTCGGTTTTTCGTTTTTTCGTTTTTCGTTTTCCGTTTTCCGTTTTCCGTTTTCTGTTTTATAATTGTACCGCTTCATAGTGAAAAAGAACGGAACTGCCGGTTCTAAAGGCAGCTCTTACACCCTATGTATAAAAAAGCTAGCCGATGTGTTTGGGGTGCGTTGGGTCCGTTTCGTGTTTTTGGATTGGTGAGTATATAAGTAAAAATTGAGTGGGAGAAAAGAATCTTCGCTGAACTGTCAAGTCGAACCTATGTAAATCGAGCGCAGCGGCATTTTAGATCGCGTAACATATATTTTCGACTAAAAATTTCCACGCGAGTTCGTATAATCGAGGGAGGAGCTTTCACAGTCGCGTAATCGTACCTGATTTTTTATTGCTAAAGTTGAAATTGAGCCGCGTAATCGCAAAACTGTGCCGCAAATTCAACGAAATTATTGTTATGGGAGTTTAAAGCCTTTGCAGGTTACGTAAAGTAATATAAATTTGCCTTTTTATTAGGCGTTGAGCCAGATGGTCAAAAATGGACGATTTGGTTTCCTTTCCGTGGAGTAAGTGTAACCTACAAATTTAGATTCGTCATGAAGGTAGGATAAATGTTTGGTATAATACTTCGTAAAATTCGGTACTCTCGAACACCAATCAAGCACACGCTGCTCTTAGTTACGGGTGACCGACTTAACTGTGCTGATCGATTCAAATTAATTTCCAAACGACAACCCGATGGCGTATTTTAATTTTATTAAGGTTTTTAGGTTAGTTTTTAATAGACTTCAGTAGTTGGGGAGATTTTAAGATTGGTCGTTTCCGTCGTTACCGCCAGTATTGTTCCACAATGCTCCAACCGCGCTAGGGCTTTCTTCAATTTAAACGGGGTCACCTTAGATTTTACCTTTAACCTGGAGGTTTTAGTGGCCCATTTTTACACAAATGTTCTTGTATTTTTTGACCAGTTAGCGTCATCTCGTTGTGAGTGACTGAGACGTAAAACACCACTCGTAATGTTGTGGTGGAGCTTTCCTCTTTTAACACCGCATGGTGGGGAATCTAGTATTTTGCAAGTTCCCCCCTACCTGGATTCCGTCTGTAGAAGGCGAGCGGGTGCTTTCTCCAATTCCTCAAGTTATCCTTTCAGCGGCAGGCTTACGGTATTTGTGTTGTCTATATTCCGTGTTGTTGATTCTTGATACCCTTCCTTGCATTCGTCCTTTTCCTGTGATAGGGTTGCGCCTTGATTCCTTAAATTTCCCAGAATTTAGCCAGCGAGCACTCGTATAAGATGAACATAGGGGTTTTGCATGGGCACTCCTTCCCTGGAGACCAGTGTTTGCTCTGAACCCATCCAACTCATTTCCCGGTTCTTTCTTGGCTAGTAGATTGTAACCATCCGTTTCTGCGTTCAATGTAACCATAGGAGGAGCGCCTTCAGTGTGCTGACAGATAGTGCGAGTTGATACCATTGCGATTGCGGAAAAGATCACTTCGGTTTTTGTCGTTGTAATGACTTTAGCAAAGATGTGGAAGGCTTATGAAATTCCAGAGGCTCAAGATAAAATTTCCGGAATTAATTATCTAAACGTATTTACCTGAATAGCTTTTGCTAACTTTAACATAGGTAAGGATATTTTTTATATTGCCGTTGTTTACAATATTTTTCGTTATTTATGCTTGATCTATTAAAATACCCTCAAATTGAGCAGTTGCGGTGGATCACCATCCATCATCCGGCACCTCAGTATTACCTACTTCGAGTTGTGGAAGTTCGAGTCTCCCTCCGACCCAGGCTACCCACACTTCCCTAAAGGTCCGTGTCGGTGGGACGTACACCACCACCACCACTTAACCTAACTTCGCTATCGAAATGTATCCAAAGAAATACACACTCTCGAGTCTCACACCAAAATATGAAACAGCCACGTGCCGATTTACAGGTTGTTAGCTTAACACTGGCTGTTTTCTGTTCACGAAATAAATTACACCCTACGGTAGTTTACAGGGGGTTGATTTAACTTTGCTTACGTATCAACGCGAATGCTCTAACGGTTATCTCGGAACCATCAATTTCCCACTAGTTTACTAAACTCAACTAACTGCAGTCATCTAAACAGATTCATTAATAGCCATAATCTGAGACAATCACGCCGTATCACACGTCTCACAAGTGCCTTAAGTTTTAAAACGCATTTGAAAAGCCAGGTCCGTGTATATAGTCAAAAAATTTAAGAAAACCTGTCAAATAATGAGCCCGCACTGGATAATTTGCCTGACGCCCTAACCCAATTAAACCACACAACAGTTTAACTTCAGACCCTAAACTGAAAGAAACCAACCAAACTTCAACTACCAAACTGAAAAAACAAGTGCTCACTCACACCCATGTGTCCTTGTGACTATTTTGGATCGTGCCTAATTGGACGCGTCTTGGGAAGAAGCCAACTCCGACCCTGCATAAACTGTACTTAGCGACACCACTTCCCTAGATACCCAGGCAATAAGTGCTGAACTTAAAATATGGGACAGAAACCACCCGAACGTTACTCTGCTAAGTAGCGACACGGTTTGAAAACCCTACAGATGGAACCTCATGTGAGCATCATACAAAATCTACCACTGCACCTTTTTTGAAATTTGCGCACCATCAGTCGCTTAAAACGTGGGAGAATAAATTACAACATAAAATTCAAGTATATTCTCTCTGAATGGGGCAGTCTATTTCGTATTCGCAACAAGCAATTTAACTTTATTTAAGCTTACACCGTTGCTATGTTTGTCGGATAAAGTTTACACTATTGTTCGTATTTATCGTAACAGTTTCGCAAGTCGTCCTTTGAATATGAAGTTTACCAAACTTTAAACGGAAGCCCGCTGGCGTATTTGAATTTGATTTTGAAAGGTTTTTATATTATTTTTTATTAAATTTAAGTAGTTGGAGATATTTTAATAGTGCTTTAAGTATATCGTATGGTCGGCCTCATTAGAGGGTTGGTCTCTAAAATGTTGCCCTGTTGTATTTTAAATCTATCGTTTTTCAATAAACTTGGTGCTCTATTGTTTTCTAAGTCAATGGTTTCCGGATCATTGGCCGATTCACTGCGTGAAAAAGTTATTTGTGCCAGTTTGGCGGGTGATTAGGCAGAATTAATGGGCTACACGTGTCCGTTTCTGATGGATAGAGTTCGTTTCGTATCGCAGCCTGCCAAACGGTTATGCCAAAATCTATAATAATATTTAATAATAATATTTATATATTTGCAAAATGTACATAATAAACTAAGCACAGGAAGCAACATAACGTCAAATACAAGAAGCTGGAAGACGAAGACTCAACGATGAAGACATTACGGTAACATTAAACGATCTAGGGACGCACGGAGTGAATTACAGTTTAGTGCTGAGCCGGATTGTAGAAAATAATAACGTGAAGCTGATAGGACAACTTAATGGCCTAATTACTAGCCCCTGGACTAGCCAGACAACGTTAAGCGATGCCATTTAGAATACCACAACCGCTATGTGGAATTGCGACTCTATGTAGATTTTATGTACATTCCGTGTAGATTCCGTGTAGATTCCGCATAGATTCCGTGTGGATTCTATGTAGATTTCCTGTAGATTCCATTTAGATTCAGTTTAGATTCTGTGTAGATTCTGTGTAGATTCTGTGTAGATTCTGTGTAGATTCTGTGTAGATTTTGTGTAGATTCTGTGCAGATTCTGTGTAGATTCTGTGCAGATTCTGTGTAGATTCCGTGTAGATTCCGTGTGGATTCCGTGTAGATTTTGTGTAGATTCCGTGTAGATTTCGTGTAGATTCTGTGTAGATTCTACATAGATTCTGTGTAGATTCTGTGTAAATTATGTGTGACCTGTGTGTATAGATTATTACGGCTAACCACCAAAATAGCGATACTTATTCCATAAGTTTATTATTTATTAGAAAGCGATGAACGTCCTATAATTATATCTCGATCCTTCGAAAGCCCTAGCTAAATTTACACTGCGCGGGTAAGTTTTATGTACATTACGTGTACATTCTAAGTATTTTCTTTACAGATCTTGTGTAGAAGTTGCTTGTGCACAAATTCTGTGATGATTCCTGCCTAGGCTGTAGACCGGTTGTAACCTTTGAACTAGTTAAAGCAAAGTATAAACCGCAATGAGAACGTGTGACCCCATTATCGCTGTCCTAAGGGTCAAGATAACAAAAATGTCTCTAAATAACTAAGCACTGAATTCCACTAACATCATTGAACGGAAATTTTTAGTTCTTCTCCTTGTGACAATCATCATAAGAGCACACCCTTCCAATGCTTCTGCACCAGCACTTGCCGCAACCGTCTTGCCAACTGGACCCGACTATGCAATTGATGCGTATCACCGGTTCATCTGGACTAAAGACTAGGTTTAAAGACAGAAAATATGAGCGAGATTGACATACCACTTGGATAGGTCACAGTTCAGCGTGTTATTCAATTGGGCGATGCACTGGCAGGGATAGGCCCCGTCTAAAACATACGTGCCATTTTCGCTGCACTCTGAAAGAAGTACGAAAATTGGGGGTAGTTTAACGATTTCAATTTTTACCGAATACGTCTTCGTGATTTTCGCCCCGACCGTTACGTAAATGGAAGAAGGCGAATAGGCCAACAATTAAAAGCACTTTCGGTACCATTTCGCGCGACAAAATAAGAATCAGCGTTCGTTACATAATACCGTTCCACTTAGATAATCCTTGAGCTTGACGTGCGTCCCACAGATGGCGCCCGCAACAATCTCGTCAATGACACTACTTTTCATTATAAATCCCCAATTACCTGCAAGGATAAAATTGTGTTTCGGAGGCGGGGCGGTCGAGACGCAATTAAAATGCTAAGCACATGAAGGTTATTCTTGCTTAAAGCGTTTTAAATGTTCAACACATCCCCTAAGCGGGCATAAAGAAAATAAATTACAAATTGTGTTCCGCAAGATTAAAGTCTTATTTCTTTTAGTACCGGCAATGAGTATAACTCTTCGGAGGTTCCGTACCATCGTTTTAATCCGTGGCTTCAGCTATAGCATCCCCTTAACTTATATAAACGTTAATTTCTTTATTGTTCCATTCCGGGGATTTATAAGTGCACTCGTTAATAACAAATTACTCGGCAGTCTTGCATCCCAATTTATGTTGCTTTAGCGACTGAAACGGTTCTGCTTTAAACGATACATCAAAGCTTTTCCAAGCCAACGTGATTTCATATAATTACTTTTGAAAGCGTTGAGGGTGTAAGGAGCTCGCGTCTCGGTGTAGTTTTTAGCATTTTTTTCTTTTTCTTTTTTGGCTTTTGCTGTACTTGTTGCTAAACAAACTCATCTTTCACATCTGTCGCGACAAGGTCTTCTTTGAACGTGTCAAACAGAGCCGGACTGCTCAATTATTCTTTATTTCTTTTCCTGGGAGGAGTTTAGGTATATGTGTAAGGTGTACTGGGCTTTAACTCCATTCGATTGGCCAGAGGTCAAAAGTCGCCTTGTTTAGTGAAGTAATAAATTATAACAAAATAATCACAATGTAAGCATCTTATGGTGGTGGTTATACTGCCCTCCTGGTTTGCAAATAAGATCGGCTAGCTTTTACCTGACATTCGTCCATTGAAAGGAATCTTCCGAGCGATTCAAACAACCCCTTAGGTTTAATCTTGAATTGAATGGATAAAAGGCCTCAGAGAAATCAGAGGGATCAGGGGGTTCCGAGGGTTAGAGAAATCAAAGGTATCAGGGAGATCAATGGGAACATAGGATTCGGGTGGTTTACAACGATCAGCGGGATAAGAGGGGTTAAGGCGTTCAATAGAATCAGATGGAACAAAGAGTCAAAGGGATCAGAGAGTTAGCCAGATAGACCAGACCGTCAAAAAGGGTCAAATAAGTCCTATGGATTCGTAGATTAGAGGGATCAGTGGGATCAGGCGAATCATGAAATCAGAAGAGTTGAAGGGATCAATGGGAATCAGAAAAAATAGAGTTTAGAGTGATCAAACAAATCAGAAAGATCAATAGGTCCTGAAGGTTCATAAAGAGATCAGAGGGATCATAGAGTTTAGGAGTATGCAACAGATCATAAATATCAGAAGGTTCACAAGATCATAAAGATCAAAAGGGAGAGAAGGATCAAAAACAAATAAAAAGGGTCAACATAATCTAATGGATGAGAAAGATCGGAAGGATCAAAGGTGTCAGAAATATCGGTGTCGGAAGGATCAGACAGATCGGAAAAATCGAAAGGATCAAGGAAAAATCGGAAAGATCGGAAAAATCGGAGAAGGACCTGCAGGATTGGAGAACAATCGGAAGGATCAGAATGATCAAAATATTTCCGGGAGCAGGGGGTTTGGGGGATTATCAAAAATAAAACAGGGCATAGGGTCAAAGGCAGGCACTAAAGGGTTCATATGGGTCAGAGTCTCAAAGGCAGTAGAGAGACCAGATGAATAAAAAGATCAGAAGGATCCGAGAGATAAAAATATCAGAGAATTCACAATGACAAGGGGATCAAATTGATCACTCATGGAGATCAGGGTGGCCATAGCGTTTATATAGATCAAAGTGGTCGTACAAAAGGATTAGAAGAACCAGAAAGATGAGAAGGACCAAAATGATCAAAAGAATTATGGAGATCAACAATATAAGAAAGATCATAGGAATAAAAAGTATCAGAGAGACCGGGGAATCAAACGTATCAGAGAATCGTAGAGAACAAGGTGTTCCAAGGATTAGAGAAACCACAGGTATCAGAGAGATCAATGGGAACAGAGGCATCAGAAAGATTACAGTCAGCGGAATCAGATCGGTTAGGGCGTAGAAAAGAATCAGAGGGATCATAGGGTCAGAGGGTGGAAGAGTGATAAAAAGGATCACAGAAATCAGATGGATCCGTGGAACACATAGGGCGATAAATAAAGATCAGAAAGATCAAAAAAGTCAGAAGGGATTAAAAAGATAAGATGGATCAAAATGATCACATGTATGGAAAAGGTTAGAGGGATCAAAATAATTCGAAAGATCAGAATTATCGTAAGGATCGGAAGGATCGGGAGGACCGGAAAGATCGGAAGGATCGATTAAGAATCGGAAAGATAGAAAGATCGGAAGATTTGGAAAAGTCGAGAGGATCGAAAGAGCCAGAATGATCGAGATGATTGAAATACAGAGGAATCAGAAATATAACTGGTCATCGGAATCAGAGGGTTTGAGAGGATTAAAGGGGTTAGAAAAAATAAGACACGATTGCATCAATAAGGCTAAAAGGGACCATATGGATCATGCGGATTAACGGATCCAAAAGCACAAAGAGGGATCATAGAGTTTAAAGAAATCGTAAAGATCAGACGAATCACAAGATCAGAAAGATCAAAAGGGTCAGAAGGATCAAATGGATAAGAAGGACCAAAATGATCAAATGAATGATAAATGTCAGAAGAATCAAAAGAAACAAAAAGATCAGCACTATCAAAAGGATCGGAAGGATCGCAAAGATCTAAAAAATCGAGGAAGAATCGGAAAGATCGGAAAAAAATTGAGGAAAGATATTTTATTTTATAGATTATTAGAGATAAAATAATAAGAAAGGTGAGAGGGATAAGAAATACTAGAGGGATCCTAGGGGATTAAAAAATGTAATGGATCAAATGGATCAAAGAAATCAGACGAATCAGGGGAATCCGAGGATTAGAGAAACCAGAGGTGTCAGGAGAATAGAAAAATTAAAAAGCTTACTGCCATCGGAAGAATCAGAGGGGATAGGACGTACAAAGGGATCAGAGGGGTTAGAGAGTGAAAGAGGATCAGAGGGATCATGTTGATCAGAAGAATCTGTCCAATAAGGTGGGTCACGGAATCCAAATGCATCCGTAAGATCAAAAGGTTAAAATGGACTACAAGAATCAACGGATCAAGAGAAACGACTTGGGGAGAATAAACAGATCATAATGATAAGAATCGCAAGGTCAGAAAGATCAAAAGGATAAGTAGGATCAACATGATCAAAAATATCAAATGTGTGAAAAAGGTCAGAGGCATGAAGGGGTTCTGAGGATTACACGAAGAGGGAGATCAATGGCAACAGCGGAACCAGAAAAATTACCGCGATCAGTCCGATCATAGGGGTTAGAGCTTTCAAAAGAACCAGAGGGTCTAAGGGACCAGATGTTGAAAGAGGTTAGATGTACCAGAGCGATAAAAAAAGGTCTGAGAAATCATAGGGATCAGTGGGGTCAAATGGATCACGGAATCAAAGGGTGTCAGGAGTCATCATGGGTCAAAACATAAAAAATAAATGCGACTGTAAGGTCAGACTGCTGAAAGGGATCATACGGATCAACGGATTAAAGGAAACGAAGATGTCAGAGGGGTCGACATAGCGTTTAGTGAGATTAAACATAATATGGATCAGAAGGATCACAAGATCAGAATGATTAGAAGAATCGGAAGGAGAAGAAGAATTAGCAAAATGTGAAGATCAATGGGAACAGAGGAAAAAAAGATTACTGCGATCAACGGGATCAAAGTGGTTAGGGCGCTCAATAGAATCAGGCGAAAGAAGTCAAATAGAACGGAGCGATAAAAAGGAACAGAGGGATCCATATATCAGAGCGACCATTGGGATCAGGTGAATCACGAAATCAGAAGAGTCGAAGGGATCAAATGGAGCAGAAAAATTAATGCAACACTAAGGTACGAAGGTTAAATAATAATAATAATAATAATAAATAATAGGGATCAATGGGCCAAAAGTATCAAAGTGATCAGGGGGATCATAGAGTTTACTGAGATCAAGCGGGTCAAGATCAGAAACATCACAAGATAAGGAAGATCAAAAAGATCAGAACAGTCAAAATGGTAAGAGGGATCAAAATAATCAAAAATATCTGAATTATCAGAAGGATCGAGAACGAATCGGAAAGATCGAAAGAAATGGGGGAATGGCCGGAAGGATTGGGAAAGGATTGGAAGGGTCAGAAGGATCAGGATGATCAAAATGACAGAGAAATCGAAAATACTACTGGAATCAGGTGAATTAAAGGGTTTGGCAGGATTAGAAGCATCAGAGGGAGGATAAGATTAGAGAGAATAAAGGATTCAGAGGGGTCTGAGGGTCAAATTGATCAGATGGACCAGATGGATCAATAGATAAGAGAAGTAAGAAGGTTAAATGAATCAAAGATTCAGAGGGAGAAAGTTATTAAATCGATCAAAGGATTCGTAGGGATAAAAAAATAATCAGGGACTAAGAGTTAGAGAAATCAAGGAAATTGAAGAATAAAAGGGATCAAAACATCTAAGAAATTAGACGAATCAAGGTGATAATAGCGTTTATGGTGATCAAAGAGATCATAAAGATGAGAAGTATCACAGAAGAAGAAGGAAAGAAAGATCAACAGAACCAGAAGGATTAGAACGACCAGAAATGAGGGGGCAAAAGGTTAAAAGCGGCCATAGGGATCAAAGGATCAAAGAAATTAGACGAATCATAGAGGTCAGGGTGAGTATAGCGTTTAGGGAGATCATACAAATGAGAACAGTCACAAAAATAGAAGAAAAGGACCAGAAGGATTAGAAGGACCAGAAAAACAAAAAGGATCAAAAGAATCAAAGGAATTAGACAGTAAGAGGTTAAGAAATATCAGAGAGGTCGGGAGATCAAAAAATGTAAGGGATTAAAGGAAGTCAGAGGGATCAGAGCGATTAGAAACTTTAATGTTCTAA